TTCTGAGTTGGAGGTGGAATTGTCTCAACTTTCTCTTTGATTTTTGTCTAGCCTAATTATTGTCGGTGCTGCATAGTTTCCAAAGAAAACGTCATATGATTGAAAAGCCAGCTGTTCCCTTAGAAGCCATTTGGATGAAAAATACCCATGTTTGAACCACAATTCCCATTTCATTGATGGGGAAAATCAAAGCATGGGGATGTGAAAGGACTTGCCTCGTGCTGGAATTCCAGCCCGATCCTGTGCGCGCTGTGTCGAGCGGTAGCTGGGGTAGCAGCAAGTCCAGCTCCACCTGAAAAGGAATAAATAAAGATACCAATGAGCCTGAACTGAAGGAGGAGGAAGAAATGACAGCTGTGATTTTTGTGCTGTCGTCCTGTGTACACTGAAGCCCTCTTGGGAGCTGTTTAGGGCTTTCCAAAGGGGAACAAACAAAAATGCAATAAGCAATGACACAACAAAGATCTGATTCATGTTGTGAGTAGCGGAAACAAAACCAAACTTGTTACAGGTTGTGTTTACTCATCTAATCCAGCACCTTTTCCAACCTCTTTAATGAGGCATCATAATGCCAACATCTACAACAACTCTTAGAAGGAAACATACTGTGGAAGGTTTCTTTCCTTCATGTGAGTTTCTAACCCATCTAACCCATGGACTTTCCATTCAGTAGGTTTTCCCTGCATGAAAAAAACAGCCAGAGTTTGCTATCAGTGGTTGGCAGCAGAAATTTTGCTTTTCTGTTTAGAACAAATTAATGATTACTGGTTGTTAGTGTTTTCTCATTAAAAGCAGAATGTTAAAGCGATACTTGAGTGCTGAAGTATTGCTCTCTAAAGCAAGCTTCATTTTCATAAGTATTTTTAGACTCTGTGTGGAGGTCAGTGAATGGTTAGTGGCTTAAGTAATGTACTTCAAAATTCCCAGTATGAACCATGGGGGGGAAAACCAGCTTAAAAATCACATGCTTCAGCTATAAAACTACAGCTTGACTTTTTTTTTTGTGGTTTTGGGGTTTTTTTGGTTTGGTTATTATGTTGGTTTTTGTTTGTTTGTTTGTTTTCAGAAACATTAAAATTTGTTAGCCGACACACTAAGAATATTTTTTCCCTTCATAGTTGATTGTAGAGAAGTCTACCTATTGCTGGTAGAGCTGATATCCCTCAGGGAACCTTTCCCACTGCCAACTAAACGCTTGGTTTTCATGTAGAAGTCTTGAATTCTGCATTTGCCAGGGTTGTTTTCGTGGTCCCAAATGATGACCAATTCCCCAAAATCAGACATTTTCAGAGCCTGAAGTGGAAAAGAAAGATGTCTTTTCATGTTTACAATAATTATTTGGTTTTGGAAGGATACTATTTTTAAGGTGATAAGTGATCTTAATTCTTTTGAGTGTAAAGATTTTGTTCACTTCATTGTCACTTCTGAATATTGCTGAGGTCTTCCATTAAAAAAAAAAAAAGCCTTTGAAGGTAAATAGTCCATTTTAACAGCTTACTCAGAGTTGCTCATGCTTTGCCTATACACAATCCACATGCCTTTAACTGCACTACTGGAAAAACTAATACCTAAAAAGGTGGAGTTGTGCTAATGCCAGCAAAATATGCTGACAAACAGGTGCCTTGTTTGGATAGTTTGGGGGTTTAGTCTTAGGAACATCATTTGGGCCTTTCTGGAGCTAATTGTATTTCTACTGCCTTAACTAAGCCACAGCTTCAGAGTAGGGCCACTCTAAAATCCCTTTCTGAATTGTTTTCTGGTTGAAAGCCCAAGATCAGGTTTGGCTTTTCCAGTGCACCCGTCCCTTGGTGAGGCAGACCACCTTTCTCCCTTTGGTTTGTAAAAGGGAATATATTTGGAGGAAAGAGCCACATCCACCTTCTTTACATCCCGTTACAACTCTCTGAGACCAGAGATTTTTCAGATCCGAACGAGGGAGAGGGTGGCCTCTTTCATGAATGGACCAAGATGGAATGTTTTCATTTCCAATGGGCTTTAAGCCAAGTAAATATTAGTCGATCCAAACTAGTTTTGAAATTAAGTTATTCTTATTTGTTGGAGCATTCCAGAGAATGGCTTTGATCTGTCTGTACTTTCACCAAAGGGATATTGGCAGGCTGGCCTCCCATTTCTAGCCATTCAGGATGAAAGAAGGGTTATAATAACCACCTTGTGTGGCAGTGATACTGAACAGATGACATTTTTTGAACAATATTAAATGAATAAAGGTAAACATACTTCAATTAAAATGTTTTTGGAGGCTGAATGCAATAGGGCTGTTGGAAAGTCTTCTATGTGGGTTGGAGGAATTTGCCTGCATTTGTAACTGATTTTCTTTAACTCCAAAGATCTTGGAAAGAGTGGGGTTTGTTCTGTGTGTTATTTCCTTTCCAAATAAATATGTTGTTTGAATATAACTTAGCAATCAAATTAAAATTGGCAGTGAACAATGAAATTGTTGGTAACTGGGAGGCAGAGATCTGTGTTGAAGAAAGATGGTCTTTTGCTTCTGGGATCTCCAATCACCTCACGCACAGTGAGCTCCACCAGGCACAGTACAACTGAGAGGTAGCTCAGGTGACACCTGTAGGTAAAGTGAAGCACATTATCAGTCTTACCAAAGATATTTGGAGACAACTTAAAAATTCAAGTAAAACAATAAATAAGATGCTCAGTGTTCCACAGTCTTTGTTGAAGGTGGGAAGCAGGGTGGAGGAGACCATCCCACCATAAAGTTCTGCTTAGACACAGCCCAAGAGCCTTTTCAATTAATATCAGCTGCTGATAATTTGTGCTCCCCTTAGACTTAAATGATACCTTAAATTAACTGAATTAAAATACAAAGAATGGAACAAGTTACTTGGAAAGAACCTCTGGAAGTCACCTGGTCTGACCACCTTCCACCTTCAAAATTAGGGCAGGTATCTCTATAAGAAGTTCAACTGTATGTTTTGTAAGTCTCAGCTTAGAGTTCAGGTTATGCAGAACCTCTGGTGTTGGGGTTTCTTAAATGTATTTACTATTTTTTTGTCAATAACAAAATAGGCAAATTATCTCTTGTGATATTGATGCAAATTAAATAGCTTTTCCTAGAAACAGGAGAGGTTTGCATGGATAGACAGGTGTTGTTGCACTCTGTGCAGATTTGCTTTCCTTTCACAGAACTAGACTAGCTGTACTTGATTTCTGAGTTAAATAAAAGAAAAAAGTCTCGTTTAACAGATATCATGTTAAACACTCAGTGCTGTTGGTGAGTGCTCTGAAGTGTCACCTGCATTTTAAGTCTAAGTACTTTTATATTTGTGCCTTAAGGGAGAAAAAGTTTGAACAAAGTTGGATAAAAAAGCCAAAGCACAAAGGGTTTGTAGGTTAAAACTTGAGATTTTGTTTTTTTGAACATCAGCTCAAAACTGGATCCATTTACTTGAAATGGAATATTTAGTTTTCAACTCAGCATGTGGACTGGTCATGCTTGAATTTAAAGCTTGATTTATTTCTTTTTGCACCTGTTTTTATTTTAACACTGACTCTATACAAGATATACTTTTGCTACATGGTTCCTTTCTCCCCAGCTGGAAGTCTGGTCTGATATTATCGCGTGAGACCTTCCTAAAAGGCACATTTGTAACTCTACAACCTCTGAAAATGCAAACTAGACTCAGTGTTCTATTTTTTTTTTTTTTTTTAATTTTTGGTTTTCTTTCCTGTATGTTACAGCACTGACCCACATATTTGATTTTAAGACCAGCGGCTGGTCATGTACTGCACTGCAAAACCTCATTTCTATCAAAACAAGGTGCAGTCCTGCCCCTGGCTAGAGTACCAGACAGGCTGGATCAGAGGAGAACTGGACATGAACTTGGAGGAGGAACAGTAAAAGAAACTGAGGGAGAAAGGGAGGAGATGCGAGACAGAGCATGGGAAGTGATGCTGACATGGGAGGGGTGTAAGGAAAGGCTGAGAAGTTGGGGAATTTTCTGCAATAGTTATGTTTGACAAAGAGAAGGGACGAACTGAGTGATCTTAAGGAGAAGGTTTTAAAGGAAATTACATGTGTGTTTTCTTGAATATGCAAATTAGAATGACATAATCTGTAATAATAATAAAAAAATCTTTTCCAGATTTCCAGCCATAACCATATGCTCAATGGGGCAGTGGCAGAGAGCTGGCAACCACAGCTGCAGTGTAAAACTGGGGCATCCAGCTGGTTTTGATCTTGATAGAAAAGGGGCAGAAGGTCATGTTACAGACTGTTGTTCCTAGTGTCTCATAGTTTATATAATTTTTCAGGCTGATAAATGACGTATGGTCGGATGTTGGAGGCATTTAAAAGACTTTTAGATGTGGCACTTGGGGACATGGTTTAGTGATGAACTTGGCAGTGCTGGGTTAGTAGTTGGGCTCTATGATCTCGGAGGTCTTTTCCAAACTAAATGAGCCTGTTGTTTTATGATCAAATGAAAATTAGTTGTGTAGTAACTGTGAGCAGTCTTCTTTCTTTGCTTTCCCTTCTCCATTGAAAACTGAAGTTGGTGGCTATTGGCTCTGTTATTTTCCATGCACATGTATGCATTTCAGGTGTATTTACTGTGTCCTGTGCTGCGTTAACTATGATAACTGTGTCTGCCCTTTATAGGTATAATTTTTGCTGATAGCAAAGATGAGAAAAATTATAGAATATACTGAGATACTGAAATAAACCCTAAAACTAAGCATTTTTCAGATTTGGTGTAATTTCACCATAGTAAGTTGCTCTTTTGAATATACCCTGGAGATTTCTACATATCTCTTCCCACAGTTGGGCTCAATATATTTTCTACCCTGTTGGCTAGCTGTGATGCTAAGGATTACTTGCATATCTAAAAATTAGGATGGGCCCCAAGTTGTGTGAAAGGTATGTATGAACAGAGAGCGTGAGCCTTGTAGGTAGAGAAGTTTTATTTGGTATGGTGCAATTCTTGGTCATGTAAACCTAACCTTGTTTCTTGTTCTTTTCCTAGGGTGACTCTGTTATTACAGTGCAGCTGACTGAGGAAGATAAAGTTGAAGATGATGTAGTTTTTTATTTGGTCTTCACTGGATCAACTGTCCAACACTGCACAAGCACAAGAAAGATTAATCCTGGGAGTCTGGAGACAATTTCTCCTGGTAAACAATTGCCTTTCTTTGCATATCAGTGTATCAGTCTATGAAGTTTGGTTAATAGAAGTGGACTGGAATGTAATGCTGTTTTGTTGGTTGTCTTATTCCTCATTTACACATTCACAGGGAGTGGAATAGTTTGGATGACTGCTTTTGCCTTTTAAAAATCTCTTTCCCGATTTTGCTGGAATTAAATGACTTTGAGATTGCGGGTATTGAATGTGTAACTATGAGATTCTACTGTATAAAATACACAATTACATTTATGCACAGTGAAAAGCTTTTAAATACCTTAAAGATAGCGGAAGGCGCATTTGCCAGGTTAGAGATGCTGTTGTACAAGTGATGTACAGCCTGAATAGTCCTAGCTACACTTATGACCTGCTTGACTTGGTGAGGTTCATTGCTGTGGTCCTGGTGGAATACAACCCTTTCCCCTAAAACCTGTAGAGCATTTCTGGAACTCTTGCAGTGGCAGGGGACGTGTGCTGCTTGGTGCCACACGAAAGCCCACAGCTCTTCTTAAGCCTTTGTGCCATCAGCAGAACAAAACAAATCAGTGCAGCATTTCCCTTTGGTGACTTCAGGACCGTGGGAATGACTGTGTTCCAGGCTGCAGTCCTTGCCATTAACCTTTCATTCTGACTTGTTGCTATGCAGCACGTTGCTGCTAGTGTGAGAAAAACGCCTGACATTTTCACTATACACAGTGTAGCTCAAGCCATCAGGTGTTTTTCTTGGGTTTGTCTTTTTACCTGCCTCCTAAGTATTGTTTAATGAGAGGCACACGTGGAGTAAAATTTGGGCTAAAGAGTTTTTTCTGCTGGAAATGAGTGGCTAAAAGTTGGCCACTCTGTTTTTTTTCATTTCCTCCTTTTTTTGTGTGCTGTTCATGTTGTTCAGTTGGCTTGTGAAGAGAAGTCTTTTTATGGTTACTGACGACTGGAGCCCCGTGCAATCAATTAGATTAGTGCTTATTTTCTCCCAGAAGAGGAGGAAGAAGGGGGTGACTCCTTCCCTGCTTCTGTGTGGTGGGCGTGGGGCTCTGCCAGCCCCGCTCCCAATGACCTCACCTCCCCCTGGGGACCGTGGCTGTGTCACCAAGAAAGGAACTGAAAAGCTTCAGTGTTCCCCTTCAGCCCATGTGGGAACCAGCGTGCCTGGTGGGATTTCTGGGCGGGAGTGATGCTTTCCTATCAACTCTGGCCCTGTTGTCCTTGGAGCAGCGATGGATGTGGCCGGGGTGGTGGCTGCCAGGTGGTACCAGGGTGATGCTCTAGGCACTGCCTCTCCTGCCATCCCCAGATGTAACTGAGTCTCTGATGGGGGCTCCCTGGGACTCATTTTGTCACTGTTAGTGGGAAATGTGACTCCCTTCGTGATTCTAAGGGGAAAGACAGAATTTCTCTCAGTTGTTCTTTTAGTAATAATGGGTTGGTTTGGTTCTTTTTTACCCAGTATAATCATGATCTTGTGGCATGTGATGTTAGATAGGGATGGGTGCTGTCCCAAAATACAGCTTCTATCAGATAAAGATTAAATGGACCTTTCAGAAATGTAGTCCCATTCCTACACTGTCTGGGGCTGCGGTGCAAGGAAAGAGGTCACATCTCAGATGTAAAGCAGCCATGTGGATAACACCTCTTCTGTGCTCATACCTCATTTTGAAGAAACTACCCAAATAAAAAATACTGTAGTGGTGCAGGGGAGAAGCAAAATGGGAAAGAACCCAAATTTTTTCAAACCCTTTGCTCACACTGATATGTTTGCCTAGTGTTGCTTCAGCACTGAGTACTCTGATTTCAATGGAACCATGACTTGTTTCAGTCCACCTCTTCCTCCTCCTCCTTCCTGGATGCCCAGTGAATCTGTAATCCTGTGTTTACACTGTTTATTCACCAGTTGCCTTGGAGATGGCTGTGGTAACTCAGGGCTGACGTTATTTGACCTCGCTGCAGGATTAGCCGTGAACAAGAGACAGTGTGTGTGAGACCAGCCCTTGTTTAAACGCCCAGGCCCAGGCACTTAGCAAGTGCTCTGCAAGGAAGCTCTTGCAAACAGCTTTTAGAGAAAATCTTGTACTTCACTTCCAGCTTCGAACATCCTTCGTTTTTCCCTGCAATGCAAGACGTGTTGCCCATCCCTGGGAGCACAACTGCTTCTTGGGGATGGCTCAGGTGGGTGAAGGAAGGGCTGATTCACTCAGGAACATACCAAGCCTCTCTGCTTACCTTGAACCACCTCTACTTCCCTCCTGGACTTGAAGGCTCTCCCCTCATTCTTGTTCAAAGTCCTCAAAATTTCATATGGTCTCCAGCAGACTTCAGATGAAGTCCATCAGGGGCTGGGGTCAAAGGGGTGGCTATAATTCAATTAAAGCTAATGTAAAAACAAACCCAGATTTTTAATTTTTTTTTTCTTGAATTTTTCAGTAGTTTTTTTGATGCATGGAGGCGTAAAAGACAGAGAAATTACTTGATTACCTTTGCTGACAAAGTTAAGCAGAATGTTTGAGCAAAGCTTTCAAAGAAAATCACATTTAAAAAAAAAAGAATCTCAACAGTATTAAGTTGCTATAGATGAAAAATTAAAGAAAATGGAATGGAAATATAAACTGTCAAAATACCTCCTAAATTCTCATTATATGTGAAAATTCTCTATGTATTTGAAAGACTTCATCCAAATAAAAGCTTGCAATTGCAGAGTTAAATGACTGCTGCGTTTTATATAATTACTAGAGCAATCTACCTCTTTCTTATGCTATCTTTATCATTAGACTCAAACACTGAATATATATAGTTCACACTAGTGTTCAAACATAAGCTTTTATTTCTGTGCATAATAAAAGAAGGGACTTCTGATTGTACATTTATGGGGGCAGCTTTTTTTTTATCTAAAAATGTGGCTAAATGTAGAGTCAGCAGTCACTCAAAGGAGAAAACACCTACCTGTATTTCTTCACTTGCTCTGAAGGATGGGAGGGGATGATTATTTATCCTGCCCTGCTATTGACTGTGTTAACTTAAGGGAAATAATTTTCCCTTGTGATAAACAGATTCTCATATGAGATGATCAATCATCACTTCAAGTATCAAAATTAGCTACTGAGATATAAAGAATTAGGCAGTAGGTGATGCTTTCTGTGCTTTCAGTAGCTCTTTGCCAACCTAAGGACACATCAGGTTACATCATCCAACTAAGCTTCTGTTTGCCTTGGTGAAAAGGTACCAAAACCTTATTTAACTATTGCTTTACTGTCCCTGTTACAGTTCTTCAATTTCTAAATGATCTGGTTCAAATTTTCAGTAATTGAAGCAGTTTTCCTCGGTACCAGTGGCACTCTGTAGTTCTGCAGAACAATTTCAAATGCTGTTTTATCAGACACGATGTTATGGTGGCAACCAGAGGTGTAATGGTTCTGGATACTGCTCGAGTTTGGATATCATTGTTTGCAAAAGCAAAAGCTTGGTCACTGGAGTTTGGGTAGTAAGAAAATACCAAAAGTCTGAGCAGGGAAGGAAGCAGAGAAATGATACCAACTGTGTTGCTGTGGTTAAACTGTTGTTGGCTGCTGAAATTGTGCTGTTGGGGATGGATGCGTGCACTTCTGTCACAGATGCTCATCCTACTGGTGTTGGTCATGAACTGAGTTTTTCAGCAACTCCTTATTACTGTAGCAACTGAGACTGCCATAATCTTAATGTATTTTTTTTTCTCATCATCTCTTCTGGGTAGGGAGGGTCACTGAAGATTGCATAGTGTAGAAAATCCGTGCAAACCAGGGAAGTGAAATTTCATTGCAAGACAACAGCCTCATCGCCTGCCTCTCTGCTAGAAAAAACACAACCTAATAATAAAAATCTGCAAATCATGATCTGGCAAACAAACCAGCAGAAGAAGGAACGACCTCATCACCACACAAGTGAAAAGCCCCAACCACATCCTGCTATGGGCAGTGGAGGCCTCTCAGCACTGGGAAGCTCTTGGGCAGATTTGGGAGAATTTTCTTGCAGATGATGTGCTGGAAGCTTGGGTATTTGGGTGGTGCATCTGGTGCAAGTTTGTGTGCCATCACCATAGCAGCTCGTGATTGGGCACATATTTTGCTTTGCATATAAAGGCTGGTGTCTAGTGTGTGGGAGATGTGTGGGAAATTTGAAATTAAATTTCAAATATGGAGAGACAGTCCAGTACTGAAATCCAGAGCTGCAGCAGCTCCTAATCAAATAAACCAAGGGTAAGAAATAGTGTGTCTGTGAGCCAAGTCACCAAAACAAGAAGTAAAATAATTTTATGAGATATAATTGCCTTTGTAAGTACTGTTGTAATGTGTTGTATCACTCTGAGCTCTGTAATACCAAAATTGCTTTTCTCTTATTGGTTGATCTCAAAAGGTCCAGGATTCTTGTATAGATTTCAAAGGGAGGAGGATCAAAATTGGAGGTAGAAAAAGAACCTGAAAGACTGTGTGTCTGCTGGTAGCTTCTTGCCTGCAGTTTCCACAGGGTTGAAACGTTCCCTTTTACTCCAAATGCCTTGACTCACTTTCTCTTCATGCTTAAGCTAAGGAGGAGAAGCAGCTTCAGTCTTTAAATTGTTCTTAATTCCACAGTTCTCAGGGTTGGGTTTTTTTTTCTTTCCCCTTTCTTTCTGCTAGTTAAAAGGATAGATGAAAATTAATTTCAGTTAGCTTGGAAATATCTTAATTTCAAACTCTTTTTTTACTGTGAAATCCTTTTATATGCTCGTGCTTTATTCTCTTCTTCCACAGACTGTGTTTTCCCTTAAGAAACAACTCTTCATAGAAAAAGTGGTATTTCATGAGTTACAATCTTTGTACTGGTAGACCAAAAGGGTAAACAAGTTGCATAACAAATGGCCACTTGGCAATACCAGTTGTGGATTTGAAAATACTCCTAATTATGAAACAAAAAATCCCCCTAAAATAGACTAAAACAGCATAGCCAAGAAGACTTTTTGCAGTCCATCCTCTTTGGTGTATTTAA